CACACACATACTCTATGTGTCCCCCCCCCCTTATGTGCCCAATCCCCCCATGTGAATCACACCTGGCGGCACTCACAAACACACAGAACAATTTGACACATTTCCCGCTCTTATGTGCCCATCCCCCCACATGGATCACACCTGGCACACGCAATACATGTTGAGTGTCTATTCTTTGTATATTTACTGCAGTTTTTCATGTATACCAGTAGTTTGATATAATATTTACAGTTTGAAAGGGTGTTAAATTAAATTTGGTGATGATTAATGGTGTTTGTGTTTATAGCAGTTCAAATTGGACCGGTCAAATTTGACCGCGAACACCAAAGTAAGGGGGGCAAAACGAAGACAATAGGAGGGTTAAAAGGCTCCAGATATATTTGACTCTGCTCCTGTTAAATGGAATGGTCTACCTGTGATGTATATTTATTATTTATTTAACTAGAATTCCCACAATGATAATGTATTAGTATCAGTGTATACAACAGCCATTGTACAATATTTGTGTTAGATTTGTTTACAATGTCAGAGAGAAGAAAAATAGTAGGCTACTGTAAAATAAACACAGTATAAAAGTAATAACAACAGTAAAGGTTAACTTAAGCTTGGACACTGAATACATTGCTATGCTGCTGATTTATTAAAACCTCTGACACATCCCCCAAAATGAGAGAAAATGTAACACATAGCAATTTTAACACTGTTTCAATTTAAGATGTTGTTGAATCTGGAAACAGTAGCAAAATACTGTTTTCTTATGGAACGTGTTCCTTGTTTAACACACGTGAAAATGTAATGCTAGCTAGCCTTTCTGCTAACTATCGGTTAGCTAGCTAGGTTAGGTAGTGTAGCACATTCATATTTTAAGGCTAGCGAAGCATTCTAATTTGTCATCTTTTTTTAATACAATGGTGTTCTAATTCCAACGTGTTCCATTGTGTAAAAACTGAATTAATACTCAATACCTGTCGATATATGACCATCAATTACAGCTAGCCGGGCGGTTAGCGAGCTCACCTGTTGTGCTGCAGGTGGGTGGCGTCAAGCTCGTAGTTTTAATCCTGCTTTTCATCATTTCAAGAAATGTCATCTTGCATTGGAGAGTTCAATAGCTACACACTATACAGATAATAGTTCAGGAGCTTGTGTCCTGCACAAACAAAGGGAAATAATAGAAAAAACGAAATAGGTAAACACATTTGTAAAAATAGCAACCTGAAGTGATTGAGGATTACAGAATAAAAGCATATGACGTAGCTCATAAAACTATATTAATATTTTTGTTATGATGAGGACTAAGGAAAATATAGTACACAAATTAAAGCAGCAGTTAAATTAATGCATTAATTTAACTGCTTGCATACTTTTATCACACCAGAATAAGGCTCTGAATGCAGGACTACTCTTGTACTGGAGTATTTTTACAGTGTGCTTTAACTAAAAGGATCTTAATATGTTTTCTCTTTCACTGTTAATGGTTTAACAATTATTATTATTATTATTATTATTAGTCTGTGACTTCTTTATATTTTGTTTATTACTTCCTCATAGTATGACAGCCTGTTGTCAAATATGTAGGAACAAATGTAAACTGTCAAAGTATAGTGTATCTGTCTCTGATGTAAAAACACAGGCATACATTTTGGTGGACACAACAATGGACCATATCAGTGGCAGTTAATGGATTTTTGTGTAACAGACCAAACACATTTGTAAAATGTTGACAACTTTTCCCATAATATCACACATTGTTGAAGCCAAGAATAAACAAATACACCAAAATAGTTTACACATTGTCAGTATAAAAGGCTGTTTTCAATGTTCATCTTATCTGATCATCACTTCACGCTTTTAGACAAAGTTCAGCAATTTGCTACAACACAGAAACCCCAATTATAATGACTGAAAAGAGCATTTTATTTTCATTTTTCTATAATTTACCCCTATACAAGTCTTCACCCACACACACTGTCAGACCATCACAGTGTTCACTATGTGTTGTGGTCAAAGACAGCTGCAGTGTTTGTTGGTTTCTTATCAACTTAATTAAGCAAATCTCCTCTTTTTCCACTGAGGTAATGAGTATAGTTTTACAGGGATTAAACATTCTCCAGGGTTGAGAATTAGGCATTATGCTTTAGCAATCTCATCTGCCTTTAATCCATCCAGACAATTTTCCATCCACAGGATTATTTAAGGCAAGTCTTGTTAGCCTTATATTCTTCTCTTTTTAATTTGCAAGGTATTAGTGTTCAAATGTGCAACACTGAAATATGAGCCTTAGTTTATTCTTTCTGCCGCAGAGTAAAGGCATTCATTTGCCTTCTTGACTTGGATTAACAGTAACAGTAGATAATCAGTCATACAGTTCAAATATATCAAAGCAAATGTACATAAGAGCAGATGGTGTTGACTAATTAAAGGAAACCCCAAAAGAGTGTTTTAGTAAACCCACCAAGTACTAACAGAGCCACAGTCCTGGGAATGATTCTCCAAGTCTGATGAACTCTTGCTAATGTATTCCCTCATTTAGTGTTTTGATGATCATGTCTGACATGTTGCCAGGAAATCTCCCATAAATGCTAAATTGGTCACTATGAAAGCCAAATCAAATTATTCACATCATATTTATACTCACCGAATGCTTCTATGACCCCTCCTGCCCTGTGTGGAGGGCCGCATCTGTGTTGGCTTTGTTTCTTAACTTATTCAGGGTTAAGGTCTATTATGTCTCCCAATATAGTACAACACTGTATGCAATGTAAATATGCATTCTTATATTATTTCTACAGAAAATAATGCATTAGAGAAACTGTGCAATGCTAGATTTCCAAATGATTCAAGTTTTGGAATCCTGTTTCACAAATGGGAGACACAAAAACCCTGAAAACATGAGTTGTTCTGAGAAACATGTTGGAGAACACCAAATTAAGGAATATGTAGTACAAGAATGCTGTTCACTTCATATCACCAGCAGTTCAACAGAAAATATTAATACATTAGGTTTGAATACAAGGATCAAACTTGATCGGACACTGAAATATCATTATCGTCATAAGCTTACCAAAAACACTCACTATACTTTATCGTATATTGTGAATAAGGTCTCCAGCTCGATGTATTTCCAAGTTAAACACATTTTAAAATGCATTCAATTTAGGTGAAATGTAATCACTGACAACTTGACAGACATTTCAGTAAAAAGCATGTCCCAGCCTTCTACCATGAAGTTAGCAATTATTCTCCGACTGTGAAGGATCAACCACAAGGCTGAGCTTGTTAAAAAAGATGGCCGTTTGATATTTCCGGCCGCTTCATCCAAATCTCAGAGAGTTAGCAGTACTTTACATCAGAGATGAGAACGTTTTCTACCCTCTTGGGTATCTAACCCAAACCACAGATAACGATTTTTTACAAATCCTTAAAAAGGGTTAGTAGGCATTTATTAGACAGTGCATGGTGAGACTGAAAGAGTAATTACACTTTCGGACTATTTTAATGGCTTATGAAAAACAATAAACTCTTACAAGACGGGTCATTAGGAAGTGTGAGTACCTGACTTGGCAAGACAGGGCACAGTTGATGTTTTACCTCTGGCAAGACACGGTTAAAGTTGAAGGGCAAATTATGTGATCACTCAGTAGCTGCAGAATAGCTGAATCGGACCTCCTTCCCCTTTTGAGGCGGTCTTAATTGCTTGATGTGTCGATAACAGAAGTAGCAACCGCTGAACGTGTACGCACATACACGCACTTTCAAAGAGCCTTCTCCTATTTAATTCAAGTTTCCCTCCAATTAAAAGTCTTATCTTCAGGTCTCTATCTGTCTCTCATAAGCTCATGAACTTGACTAATGATGTCCACTAGGACCTGAGCTGCCAGCGTGGGTGTTAAATGCTACCCTCTGCTGGCTTTATTTCTAAATAAAAAAATAATAGGAAAGTCATTGTTTATGCTTATTTGAAATGTTCTATTTTTTTTTTTTACATTGAATGGACTTAATGAATAATTGTGAAAATAATTGGCGGATTTATTGATGATTAAAATAATCTGTAGTTGCAGCCTTAATGCATTTACAGACTATATTGTAAACTGTTCTAATTTCAGCCAATTAACTCGCATTTGGGATGATATACAATGCACCTCATTTCATCATTCCCACTTCCTCTTTTAAACATAGTCCAGGCAGTTTCAGCAGCTGCAGTGTACACCAAATAACAAAGAGGCAGAGGATTAACCAGATTTATTTTTACAGTGAAGCAGAGTAGATGATGAGTTGGGAAAGCCTCCATAAGAGCCTGTTAGTCACGGAGTAACTCCACTCTGATGCTCTGGCTCTCTACAGATAGGGCCTGGTAACCCCTTTTTTTTTTTAAATCAAGCAATCCTCATGTGGCTGAGATGCACCTCTAAACGCATGGCAAACAAGATGGGTCACAGTGTATCTACTCCACTGCAAGCTTCGGGAAATCCCAACTGAAAATGGAGCGCAGGCTGACAGAAAAGCCTCTCTTTGGGTTCTTTTTGCAGGATTACCAAATCAATGCTTTGTAACTAGGTTCCTTTATTGCAAGGTCACTTAATTAAAGTGCAACAATAGATAACAATGAAAGAGTATCAGCCAAAATACACCAACGCAGACAATCTCAGAATTATTCTTTGTGAGAATATAAGACGTGAAGTTGAAAACAAACAGCTGATTTCAGGAGCTTGTGCAAGTGATTCATGAGCATGTGTTGGCTTCGAGTGACAACTGTTTGTCTTATTCCATCACCAGTGATGCAGAGAAATGACAGCATCAACAAATTAACTTTTCTCTGTGATATTTATAAACTGGAAAATGTAACAGACTCCTGTCGGTGGAGACGGTGTGTGCAGGAGGTTTGCTGATGGGTTATCAGAGGCTGTAGGTGTCTTCAGGTAAGTCTCCCAGGAGTTCATCCAGGTCATCATCTGCACAACAGACAGATAAGAAGATTAAATAATGGGTAATTCAAATCAAACTTGTAGGAAACTAAAAAGACTTCTTTGGGCATGTTTGCCCTTATTGGACATCAGAGTACAGAGATAGAAACACTGGGATTGGTTCTAGCATTAACTATTCAGGTATTTGTTGATAGTAAAGGTTGCACCAAATATTGGTGTTTTTCGATTTGGTTCTTCGATTGAGGCATCCAATTAAGCTTTGAACATCTTTTGACATCATACAAATATTAAAGTTTGTGAACAAAATCCCTAAATTTCAATGAGGCGATTCATCTTTTTAAGAATAATTACATTTTCTTTAATAAACAGAACCTGGTCGAGTTGGGTGCGTGCCTCCTTTTTTGTGCGGAAAAACACTGCAGTGAAACTTTTTGAAAAGCTCAATAGCAAGAAATAAGAATTAAATAGAATGTTTTGAAGGATTTTGTTAGTTTACATGTGGATTCTGGAAATAATTACATTCATAATTGTTCAATGATATTGGCTTTGACAAGCTCTGGAGTTAATATATATACATTATCTTACTCAAAGCTCTTTACAGTATTGCTTCTCATTTATGAGCTCACACGCTCTACCCAATGGCAGCGAGGCAGCGTCCAATGGCTGAGCACTGCCAGCAATCTACGTGAGTGAGCATCTGTCTTTGTCTACGGCTAAACATGCATCCTACTGAACCAATCATCCTACATTTTTCAGAATTTCATAACATTTACTGAGTGTATCAGTAAACAGTAATTAGTATCCGTCTGGAATATTTTACTCTGGGTAGATCTTTGAATGATGCAAAGACATTCAGATCCATGATGCAGTTTCCCGTGAGGAGCTTGGCTGGTCTCCATGTTTTCTAGAATTATTACAAGAAAAAAGAGTTGGCCGCAGATCAGACTAATCATTGTCATTTCGAAAATACAAATTACAGCTCTGCTACCATGTGCCTCCACTTTTCTATCGTTCTGCTGACTGAATAACGAAAATAAAAAAGCAGATTAATCAAACTGAAAAACATTGATTAGCTTCCGTTTCGGTTAAGAACAATGCAATCAGAAGCTTTTGTCACGCTGCAGTTAACATTGGGTTCAGGTCTACGAGTCAAATGTTAATGTGACGAAATGTTACCAGACGGTGTTTCAGTTTCACTCATCAAAACATCATTTTCCTGGAGTTTACACTTGTCAACCCCAGGATGTGACTAGAATGAATCACTTTCTCTCCTCACAAGTGTTATTACATATAAGAGGCCCCCACCTGCATCCCAGCCTGAGTCCTGTGCTGCTGTGTTCCCAGCATGCTCTCTGCTGGAGCCGGCTCTAGTGTCTCTTGGAGTTTCCGCATCCTCACGTCTCTCCGAGCATTTTTCCCCTTCTTGTCCCTCATCATCGTCCTCGTCAAACACCAGCTGCATCCGAGACACGGGCTCCCGGAGGACGGTGGGGGGGGGACCTGCGGGGGACATCGGCTCCTGGATAGGAAAAACATTTTTTGTCAGCTCAAAGGATTTTTTCTGATTTGATAGTTGTTGGGCTGTGATATTTTTGCTTTCAGCTGACAGTCGGGGGTGCTCACCAGGAGGAGCGAGGGGAGCTGAGTGGAGGACAGACTGACTCCATTAGGGCCGTAGATCCTCAGCAGATTGTTGGGCGTCACGTTCAGGTAATGGTTACGATGGGAAGGGGAAAACACACCCACCTGTCCACAGAGGCAGCCACAAGTCAGATTGTTAATCACTTTACATTTAAAGGTCACCTATTATGCAAAATCCACTTTTTCATGTCTTTTATACATAAACATGTGTCCCCTCTGTGTAAAGAGATTCTGAAAGTTTCGCTCACTTTTTGTCCTGAACCATTTATATAAAAACCTGTCTAAAAATGAGCTGATCAGATTTTGGCCACTTTATGATGTCATTACGATGTTTTGGCTTGTGTAACCATTAGCCAATAACCAACCAAGGTAACACACCCCCCCCCCCCCCCCACCCCAAAGGGGCGTGGGGAGTGGCTCCTTATTTTCATCAAGGAACAGACAGAGAATCAGCACTTTTGAAACAGGGCTGAAACAGAGGGGATTATGGGATGCTGCAATGGGTGATCTGTTTGGTATTTCGAGCAAAACACTTCAGAGACATGTTTGTATATATCTGAGACCTATTATATTGATGAAAAACAATATAATAGGGGACCTTTAAGTTAAAAGGAACTTTCACTTGTGTTGATTTTGATGAACCCACTGGAAAAGAATAAAAACAGTAGCACAGAGCCCGGCCAGGACCCGCTGGAGCCTGAGGTGAGGAGTTTATGTTAACGTGCATAATTGCGTCCTATTCTGCCACATTGGACTTGGTTACACGTGCAACAGCATTAAGAATAACTTGAAAGAAATAGCCAATCTTCTCACTTTTGGTCTCGTTTGCTTATGCAGGTCTTATAAAAGGCATCAGTAGTACATTGAGACTGTTTCCTAACCAGTTCCTCATCATTACTTTAATTGTAAACGTTACAGAAGCGGTGAGTCTCACCTGTTTGAGCAGCAGTACAGCTCCCACCTTCAGCTCCTCCACTCGGTCTTCTAGGAGACGCCGATGAACCGTTCCCTGAATCTCCCCTGCAGCCGGGAATATTGTGCAAAAAGAGAAAAAAATGATAATTTAAAAACATTGAAAGCTTGCCTTCCAAAATGTCGACTTCCTGTACATCCCATATTTCCAAAGTAAATGGGCAAGTTAGACCTCCAATACTAATATGATCAAATATGCTTTATTTAAGAAACTCAACACCTTTATCCGACTTCATTCTAAATCTTGCTTTTAAAAAGGGTATGATGCAGGTAACACAGGTCACACTCACCATGGTCAACATTATGATTATAAAAGACCCCCCATCACCCTGGCAACAAACTGTTCTGTCTGCTGCCAGACAGGCGGTACCGCAGCATCACTAAAACCACCTGACTCAGGAACAGTTAACGCCTGAGCTTGCACAATTTTTATTGTTTTGCTTTTAGGGTGTCTTGTATTTGCATTGTTTAGGAACATGTGACCCAAGTGTTTCATTATTTACATAACTACACCGTAGTTGTGCATATGATATGACATTAAACCTTTTGAACATCTGAATTTGATGCAGTAGAACCCGAGTGTGATGCGGAAACATTCGTTTTCATTAAATATGAATCACTCTTCACCAAAATGTATTGAGATATATATATATAAAAAGATTTATATACTGGTTGACAGCAGCTTTGGAGCTATTTGCCTGCTTGAGAGAGCGTTCAGCAGGTGGGAGGAACATCACTGACAGAAAGCTCCCTCCTGGTGTCACAAGCACTTAAAACCCACCCACTGCTGTTGCCAATCTACTGCAATTGAATCACTAATATGCACTTAAGTCCTGTGTTGAGTACAACAACCATTCCTGAGTGTTAATAATCAGCACACCTCGTGTAGCCGCTCTGTGGAGGCCATGGCAACCGGCTAAGCTTAAGAGGAGGATCAGATGAAAAAGGGTGAAGGCTCAACGGGGAGACGAGAAGGGAAGGAGACGAGGCAAAGGGAAGAGGATGGAGGCTTCCAGCTTCTGATGATGAATGCTGTATACAGATGTATGTATCTGTGTGTGATTCAAGTATGATAAAGAGGCTTCACCAGCACCTAACACACGACTGTCAGTTATTTATCATTCACACAGACGTTATAAGCTTATACTTATATCTACCAGGGCTGAATTTTTGTATATTTCTTTTTTATATTAAAGTTTTCTTAAAATAGTTTTCCATCTGTGTTTTTAATTTTTGTTTTACTTTTATGTATGCACCACAACACCAAGTGAAATTCCTCGTACGTGTAAACCCACCTGGTAATAAAGCTGTTTCTGATTCTGTCTCATTATTTTAAAAATGTCAAAGCTTCTACTGGGGTTTTCAGAGAATGCTGAACGTCTGTTGTCTTATTTTATAACATCATAACACAATTTCAATGTCCACATTTTGATTACAGCCCTTATTTATACTACCAGCCAGTGTCATTATTTCTGTAAGAATCATTGTGTGTGTGTCCTACCTGTCGGGTCTTTAAACACAACCTTGGCATCAGCGTGTGTGTGGATGATGCTCTTCAGCAGCACGGCCATATTGGGAACTTTGTTTTTCGCCAGCCGTTTCAGCGCAGCCTACAACGACGAGGAAATCAATCAACACACATGAGCTGGTTAATCAAATAACAGCGTGTTCAGAAATAAATCCTTTTTCAAGCACACATCTCAAACAGTAGCTGGATGAAATGTCTTAACTACATTGACTATGAGCTTCTTTGTTTCATTTGTAATATAATTAAATTCATATTTGGGGATTTTGCACTGATAACACACACATTCCTACTGTAATGTATATTTCATACCTCATTCATGCATACTGCTCACACTATTTACCTATATATTTCACCTCCCTATTAACTTCAAATATTGTTTTCAGTATTTTATGGGACTACATAAATGTATCTATACAAATGTGAGAAAATACATTTCCAAATTGGTACAAAACTTCTATTTATGGGGTCAGCTGGTGGTTCCATTGAGAAAGAAAAATAAATGCACACCGCTGCAGATCATCTATTTAGTTTTAAGACGCGTTTTAGACAAATGATCACTGCCTTACACCAAAAATGAAAACAACAAACTCTACACATTAGCGAACATGATTTACTGTGGATGCTTCGGTCAACAGAAGTTGGGAGGAATGTTTGTTTATTTGTTTATTGATGCAAACAGGGTCAAGCTGAGGTTCATGTTAAACCTGAAGGAGCTTAGCCAGAGTCCTTCAGTGACTCTGGGCATGTGACGAGTCTGTTTCAAAGACAACAACAGAAACCAACAGTGTATTATGACTGAACACTGGCGAGTTACTCCACAGAGATCGAGACATGGAGAGGGAAGAATAACAGCAGTCTCCATTAGAGTGATTGATGAGTGATTGTTCCGTTTCTAATTACAAAGGCCTCTAGTACAGCTTCTCCATTTGTCCTGATTATGCCAAGAGACCTCCAGCAGCGATACACTGTTATGATGGAACATAAATCAAACAAAACCGACTTGACCTGAATAAAGATGCACTTAGAGCTAATTATTTAAATGGACTGAAAGAGTTTTGGGATGGCTTTTTTCACTTGTAGTTTACGAGGCTGTATTAGGGCCATTGTAGATGAAAAAAGGTTCCAATATAATAACGGGAAAGAAACACTTGAATATTCTGATATTCTAAAGACTTCAATTGTGTTTTGGTTTGATCAAGGAAACACAACGAGTTCAGTTTGCAAGGTCTCAGACGTTAATGTTTGGTTAAGGTGGTGGACAAAAAAAAGAAAGACACCGAATCACCTTTCGGAGAACCATGACCACACTGTAGGAGTGCAGGAAGCACGAGGGGTTCCTCTCGTCCAATCCCATCTCTGCTTTCATCGCAGCCCAGGGACCACCACTGAACTCGTCTTCTTCAGTCTGTGAGCTGGAGCCCTTTAAACAGAGTCAAACCGTTTAAACACTCAGAGACATTCAGTAACCGTGGCTTCAAAATATCAGGTTTATGTTTCCATGTGACCAGCAGCTCTTTGGATCACTGTGTCGGTGGTGATGGCTGGTCATCAAACATGTCTCCACCCTGTCGCTCTCTTTGTCTCCAGGAGGCTGAATCTAGACAAATGTGTGGATGTGTTTCTGCTAATTGTGTGAACGAGGTCGCACCTTCACATTTGCTATTACACATGTTTCTTGGTCTGGCAACTGGACAAACATATTTCAGATTGTCCAAGTACATTATTTGTCACTTTCGTTGTTTCCTTTTTGTTCTGCCTCAGAAGAGCGAGAGAATGAGGAATAAAACACACAAGAAACACAGCGTGTGAAGCTGCCACATCCTCACTTAGTCATTTTAGTTCTTTCTTTCTAATTGTTATGTATTACCCCACTTGCCTACTATGCACACTCAATGTTATCTTTTTTCTGTGCAAGTTTATAGACAAAAACAAGAAAATGTAATCAATTACAGGATAAAAATACATATCTAGTTAAAACAAGATTTATGAAAACAAATATTAAGCTTTGTTTTATGGCGCATACCATAATACTGCAACATCCCAGGTCTGATTGCTCATTTCTATACTGAACTCTTACAATTTGAGGCGAAAGTGACCCCACTTTTTTTTGTCTTATGTCAATCATCGCTTTTATTACCTGGCTTGGTGACCGGGCCACAGCACCGTGAGCCGGAGTCTGAGGGACAGAAACCACGATGTCGTCCAGCCTCTGACCCTGAAGCTGAGAGAAGGATTATATTATTCCGCTGCACCATGATGGAAACACACCTTACCAATGAGATGCTCTCGACAGGAGTCATCCATTACAGCAGCAGCATTTCTGATCATGACGGTGAGATTAAATGTGATTTCACTGCTCGGTTGCTTTTATTTTGAGTCAACATCAACACACTGCAAGGAGGCATACACAAACAGGAACTCCAGATGGCAAGGAGAGGTAAACTGCTTTGATTGTCGAGAAAAATTACTTTAATACTAATTTCAATTATTTACATTTTATTATTGTAATTTTAAAACTATTACATAACATTGATGATAATATTGTCCTGTCTTTATATCCTGCGATGTGTCTATAACGTAACTATCCTGACAGGCCTGCTGCAGGATGACACCAACCTGCTCTGGCAGGAACCCTGCGGGCCCCGGAAAGCGGCGGGTCCTGGGCCGGTGGGCCTCGGAGCGGGGTCTCCTCTGAGGGAGCTTATTGGAGGCTGAGACCAGCTGCACCAGGCGGTTGGTGAGGACCGGTGTGTGAAGGGGATGAGGGCTGAGGGTGGAGGAGTTCAGTGAGGAACAGGGCGCTGGGGAGAATGACTCAAAGATTGCACGGCCCTGAGGGGAGGGTCCTGGTGTTGCCCACGGTCTCTGGGGCCTGTTGAGTGTCCTGGAAATGGGGCTGGGGGCAGGGGAAGACACAGTAAGGCCAGAGAAAACACTTGGACTCTGAGGAGGCGCTGACAGGGGAGAGGGGCGGGGGTTTGCAGTTCTGAGAACATGAGTGGAGCAGATCCGAGTAGGTAGGTAACTACTAGAAGAGCCAGGGGCCTGGGGAGCAGCGTTCAAGTCTCTCTGCGTCCGATTAGGTCCGCTGCTTGTCGGGGGTCGCAGTGTTTTTGCTGAAGTTGCAGGATTAAACGCAGGTGCAGGATTAAACGCAGGTGCAGGATTAAACGCAGGTGCAGGCTGGGCTGGAGCAGCAGACTGCACCATCTGCTGGTCACACTCATCCAGGTCTGCCAGGTCAACATCCCAATCATCAAAATCATCCAGTCCCGCCGTGTTGGCAGGACTCTGGTGGTGTGTCAAAGCAGGCTGAGATTTATCCAGCGTGTGAGGATGAGTCTGAGCAGAGGAAAAGGAGGAGGAAGAGGGCCGCCTCAAACCCTGAGCAACAGTTTGTCCTGCAGCGATGTGTGTGCTGCCCCTCGATGCCGAGCTGTTACACAGAGCAGCTGATCTCTCTGTAGTTTGCTGAATGCAGTTTTTCTCCGGCTCTCTGTGAGAAACAGAGGAAGCCCGCAGCGAGCAGGAGGACACAGCAGCTGCCACATCAGCTGATCCAGGCGCTGAGCGGACAGCCCAGTCGGTCCCGAGCAGGTCCTAGGACACACACATTTATATTAACAGTGTGAGAAAGCAGCAACAGAAATGGAGCAGCCCATGCTCAGTGGTGGATTGTTATTAAGTACAGTTACTCAAATACTGTACTTTTCTCTTTTTCATTTTTTACCCTCGTAGCCTACTTATGTTTACATACATTTCATTTGTGTAATTAAGACTTACATTCATTCTTACAGCTGTACATTCATTTATTAGGAAATTAAATAAAAATAAATCGCCTCAGGAATGTTGTACTTTTTAAAGCACTACTTCAGTCAACATTGGTTACTTAACAAATAAAAAACAAACATAAAATGGTTTGAAATAATTGAAATTACCCAACCATGTGATTGCATTCAAGTATATCTAAAATGACTCCTGTATTAATCATAGGTATTAATAAATGAGTGGATCGACATATTTTCAATGTTATGATTCAAGCGTCCTAAGTAATTTAGTACTTGATTATTTAGTACCTGATTATTATTATTATTACATGCTTTTTACTGTACTAAGTAACATCTTCAAGGATTTATTTGACTGGGGTAAATGATCTGACCGGTTCACTGATATTTAAGTACCATCAGGTGTGTTGTTGCTGGGACTCACCTCATCATCAAAGTCCTCACCAATGTTGAACAGGCCACTTAATTTGCAGGTCTGTAACGGGAAACAAAACACTGATGTATTCACAGCAAATGCAGGTTTAAATCACCAGATGCTAAAGATTGTCTATTAAACAAAAAAAAGAAATGTCATAAACTATTTTGCATTAAACGTTAGCATTTGTTAGCTTAGTTAGCACAGATTGTTTTGAGTTTGCTTTTTAGCTCACTTACCATCGCAGTCCTGAGATATCGCGATTAAAGTCGTATTTGATCGGTCTGTACACCAAACTCACTGAGAGATTGGATGCCATTTACTACCTGCGTTGTAATGTAAAATGTCGTTTTGTTTGCATTCTTTAATTTTACAAGAAAACGCTGCTTATCAACTTTAGGTGAGCTGCTGCTTGGGATCGCGCCGCCACGTTCAAACACGACGTACTGACGTACATGTGTTTTCCAAAGAGTATTGCAGCAGAGCAAGATGATTCACTCCAACTTTCCTACTTGACGTTCTCAAAGTAGTTACTTAGAATCTTAAAATATGAAAAACTTTCTGAAAATAAATAGTCTAATATATTATATAATAACTCTAACTTCTATATTGTTTAATATTATGGATAATGTTACAATGATGTATCCTTATTATGACTTTAAAATCTGATTAAAGCTGTTTATCATGTGTGTTTTTTCAACAGTGATTATACATGCTCAAGAAAAAGTTGTAAACCAGACATTGTTATTCTAGGTTTTGAACCTAACTTGAATTGCATTGCTTAGTGACAACCTGTTGCATAAACAACAGGAAATAAACTAGGAACATTTTAGATTCATGTTAACGTTTAAAACTGTGAAATGGTGACAAGTTTTATACATCTTGGCGTTTATTGGTTCTTTGATCAGATGACTGTTTTGGTGGGTATCAATACTGCCATCTGGTGGCCATTTATGTTAATACATGTATCAGTTTTCATTCTGATCTAATAATAACTAGTGCTGAAGTTGTGTTTGAGCAACAATCTTGCGACTGATACCGTTAAGCAAAAGTCATTTCGAGTTGTAATATTTGACATGAAAGGTACACAAGACTGATTTAAATAATGAAAGTTTTGACCTGACCTTTGCTTGGACCACACTGCAGCTCCAGTGAAGGTGAGTACAGGCAGACATTTTCTCTGAACAGTATGATGTGTGGACTTACAAGGTAAAAGCATAAGATCTACTTTGAATTCAATAAAGGCAAAATATACACATACCTGATGATACTATTGGTATCATAAAATGACAATACAACCTCCCAAACATTTATTTGAAAGAAATCAAGATAACTAAGGACAAAACTAATTGTATAAGATCCTTTCAGTGATAAAAATAACAAGGTTGACAGTATGAATTCACCCAAAAAAGAAACGAAACACACTTAACATGCAGAGTTTATTTAGTATTCTACATTGTCCCACTCATCACTGGAGAAGGTTTGTTTTTATTACATTTTCTGTTGTGCTACTTTGCAATAGTTTGTGGCAGTAGATTTTTTTTTTTTAAAGAACAAGTCTATTTTTGGAGAGGAAACATAAAGTCAGATTAGTATTTCGTCTTCTTTTTACCATTGTTAACTTTCTTGTAGGTTGAATTTCAGGTGCCATGTCAAAGGACTCCTTTCCGTTCACTTCTACCTCGCTGCGCTCCCTGAGGCTGGAGCAGGAGCTTCAGGAGTGGGAGGATGCTCGGCGAGCATTGGCCAATAGGAGAGCCATGACCAGGGCCCCGCTACCCAGGGCCCCCAGGCTTTCTCCCAGGCAGGGGCGACTGCAGGAGGTCCGGGCCCCTCGTGCCCCGGTCCGGTGCAGAGACACGGCCGTCCACAACACCTTCATGTGTGGGGACATGAAAGGAGTGTATGCGGTGCTGAAGGACGCTGCCATGGTCAACGCCCTGATGGAGACGGTGCATGAAGACATGGTGTGGGCTCCAGAGATGGGTAGGAATTTAAGACCTTTTACTTATAGTCATGGAGGGGTTAGGATGTAGGCCTTTACCCACAAAATGTCACTCAAAGGAACACATATAAAGCCCAAGAAGGGACTGACAATGACCACAAAGAAATAAAAAATGTCATTGAAGGGACTCAATACGACTATAAAAAGAGACAAAACAAAACAAAGAGACACAAATGTCTACAAAGAAGCTTAAAGCAGCTGCACAGACACCAAAACAACTACAAATAGATGCAAAAAAAAAAAAAAGAAGTACTCAAAATGACTACAAAGACACCATAATGACCACAAAGAGAACCAAAGTAACTTCAAGGTGACACAATTATAAGAAAGACACAACAAATGACTTTTCAAAGGAACTTCAAATGACTACAAAAAGATCAGATGGTCTACAAAGAGACACACGAGGACCACAACGCAACTACAAATAGAGAGAAAACGACCACAAAAACTAAAGAAGCACTTGACTCAAAACACAACCTAACGCAACCCTTGACTTAACACACACTGTCCCTGTGTGCCTGCGTCAGGCATGTGGACGCTGAGCTCCAAGGTGAAGCAGACCTCAGCGTTGCGCCTGGCTGCCAGCAGAGGACACTCGGGCTGTGTGGAGGAGCTGCTGTTCCGCGGGGCCGAGGTGAACGCTGACCCTGGGGGGAGCACGGCCCTCCATGACGCCTGTGTGGGCGGCCATGATCTGTGCGTCCAGCTGCTGCTCTCTCATGGAGCTGACCCTGAAGTGCTGGCAGCAGACGGCAGCGCTCCTCTCCACCTGAGCTGCACCTCCGCACAGTCACTGAGGTGAGAGGGGAGCTCACAACTCACCATTTGTTCTTCATTAATATCAATGATGTACTTTTGGCTCACTTTTAGAGCTGCAACACTTAGTCCACTCATCAATTACCCTATCTGCAATGATTGATAATGGATGAATCATCAAAAGTGGGTTCACCGGGCGCTGTACAGTAGCTGCCCACTGCTCCAAGTACGGGTTAAATGCAGAGGTCACATTTCACCGTGTGTGCTGTGCTGTGTGCATGTGACAAAAATAAAGAGAAACCCTCTTTATTTTTGTCACATCCTCCGATTCTAACAGGATTCTAAAGTGATGTTGTCAGCCTCTCAATTATGGAGAGGTCCTACTTTTTAGTTTTATATATATTAAGCTGAATGCCTTTGGAGTTGCAGAAGGCCAGACCCACCACTTCGTTAACTTTAGTTGAGTTTCTTGTTAATTTTCTCTCTTCAACTATACTATTAAAAACAAAAGCCCCTTTAATAGTGTTTAATCTTTTCGTCTCTATCTTCACTTATGTTGTAACAATGTACATTCCCGTTCTGTGGGATGAGTATATTCTGATTTTGATTCCTAAATGTTCTGGTAATAAAACACATTTGCACATTCTTCTCTGAGACTGAAATAATTTGGCTCAACCAAAAGATCTTCCATATTCCTGCTTTTAAGAAAACCTTAACTCATGTCAGATGGAGACTGCATGTTTTTTCAGATGTGCCTTTTGTTCCAGGTGTGCTGAGCTGCTGATAAAGGGAGGAGCAGAGGTCAGCGTGAGGCTGGGGGGGGCGAGGATCACGCCCCTGCACCTGGCCGCCCGGCGAGGCCTGGAGCAGCACGTGGAGCTGCTGCTCAGCACCGGAGCAGATGTGTTGGCCACAAATCAGGAGGGGGAGACCCCTCTGAACGCTGCCTGCTCCGGGGCCGAGAGACCCTCTGAGGCCGGGCGCTATCTACGAGTGGTCCAAAAGCTGCTGGCTGCAGGAGCTGATCCCAGAACTGCAGGCAGGAAGCAGCACACCCCCCTGCACAACGCCTGCGCCAACTGCACCCCCCGGATTGTGGACGTCCTCCTGCTGCATGGAGCCCGGCCAGATGTTGCCAACTGTGCAGGATACACACCGATGGACTGCCTGCTGCAGGTAGCTCAGAGGGAAGGACGTTTAGAAAATGATTGATCAGATATCCTTTTTTTTTTTTTTAAAGCTTGGGTAGTGGGATTAACTATTTTCTGCTTGTTCTTTAAGGCGGTTGAAGATTACCCCGGCCACCAACCAGAAGCAATAGCACGGTCACTTCTGAACCATGGAGCTCAGCCTGTCTCACCAAAGGTTAAAAACACACTGATACATGAACAAATTATATTATATCAAAGCAGATATGCTATTATATATCATTGTGTGATGATGTTATTACCAAGAAAGCTTCAAAAAGGGAATCACGGGGGAAGGTTGAACAATGTCAAGTCACATTTTCAGAATGGAAATTCCAAACTCCAAAAAAATGTAGCACCAGAAATCTACCAATCAAAGGATTCCATAAAGGAGATATATCAAATAGAATACTTCCAGTAAGAAACGTTTAAGTATGAAACATATGTCAAAATAATGGATGAAGCAAGATAGCAAGCAGACCTTGAGAAACATGGATGGACATTTCTGTTCAAAGTTTTCCTAGCCATTATATACCAAATTATTAAACTACAAATTAATTGGCAGATTATTTGATGAGGAAATGATCAGTACTTGCAGCCCTACTAAATAGTGTTTTGAAGTTCCTTTCTCCTCTCTCCAGATGTTGAAGCAGTGTGTCCTCTCTCCTGCCACTCTGGAGGTGATGCTGAACTCGTACACATTGATCCCTCGCTGTGCGTGGATGGACTCTCTGTCCACGGAGATATATGAGGTAAATAAACCATTTAATCTCCTCTTCCTCCTTTTGTTTATCATCCTGTGATCTAAAGTGTTTTTGTCTGTCTTTTTGCCTCAGGAGCACAAATCTTTCTTGGACTTGGTGCGTCAGCGGACCGGCCAGCCTCGCTCTCTGCAGCATCTCTGTCGCTGGGCTTTACGCCTGTGCCTCGGAGCCCGGTGTTTCCCAGCGGTCAGTGAACTGCACATTCCCAGCTCTGTGAAGGACTATCTGCTGCTGAGTAACGACGGGACGCTCCAATGACTTCATCCTGTACTTTTATTTGAGATAACAATAACCTGTTTCTGTTACTCTTTTCTTTAGTCATGCTTCTTTTTGTCAAATTGAAATACTTTTCAGGTTGAGTTTGTGTAAGGAAAAAAAGTATAATTTGACCTCCTGTTTGAGTATTTACTTTTTATATATTTATATTGTGTATATTGGTTGTTACAATTGTTTTAACAACAATTTCGACAATAAATTGCTTGCACAAAACTTGTGAAATTAAATGACTGTTTCGATGTGATGTGCAATCAAAAATAAGCTTACATGCATAGCTTTTCAATTAAATTAAATATCATATGGGAGTTATTCACCACTACCAATAAAACTACTACTCAAAACATTAGCAATAACATACTTTTGTTATTTTTAGCATTTTATATTTGTACTGGATACACAAGTCGATCAGTATTCAAATAGATATATGCTACTTTATACTTCTACATCACTCCAATTCTAAGGGAAATATTGTACTTGCTGCACTATTCATTGTATTTCATAGCAACTGAACTTGTAACATACAGTAGTTTACTAGATTAACATTTTAAAAACAAAACGTGGTCATTTTATAACGTACAGTATGACCCATTGTGATTTATTAAATATAAATTATTTATCAAATAATGCAAATTAGCAACAGTAATGTATTGTCAATTATGTAGGCCTATCTAGGGGGGGGGGCAGTGCCCCCCTAACACTGACCTCTGACCCCCCTGTGGCCCCCCTAACAATGAAAAGTTTTTTTTTTTTTAAATGTATATTTTCTGGTACTCGGTTTGCCAAAAACCGCAGGATTTTGTTGCTGTAATGTGAGATTGTGCAGACACCCTTATGTAAAGTAGAGATGTAACTGTTCATTGCCTTTATTTTTATATAAATATGGTGTGAGTGCAAACATTGCACTATAATTCAAGCTGAAGCTAACAGTAATAACTATAAGATCTATCTGAAATAAATACACTGAACAAAAATATAAATGCAACACTTTTGTTTTTGCTCCCATTTTTCATGAGCTGAACTCAAAGATCTAAAACATTTTCTATATACACAAAATAACCATTTCTCTCAAATATTGTTCACAAATCTGAAAAAATCTGTGATAGTGAGCACTTCTCCTTTGCCGAGATAATCCATCCCACCTCACAGGTGTGGCATATCAAGATGCTGATTAGACAGCATGATTATTGCACAGGTGTGCCTTAGGCTGGCCACAATAAAAGGCCACTCTAACATATTCAGTTTTATCACACAGCACAATGCCACAGATGTCGCAAGTTTTGAGGGAGCGTGCAATTGGCATGCTGACAGCAGGAATGTCCACCAGAGCTGTTGCCCGTGAATTGAATGTTCATTTCTCTACCATAAGCCGTCTCCAAAGGCGTTTCAGAGAATTTGGCAGTACATCCAACCGGCCTCACAACCGCAGACCACCTGTAACCACACCAGCCCAGGACCTCCACATCCAGCATGTTCACCTCCAAGATCGTCTGAGACCGAAACAGACCGAACATCCTTTATGGGGGTCGTCGCCTCCTCTTGGGGGGTCCGGGGGCATGCTCCCTCGGGAAGATTTTTTTTTAAATATTGAAGTTGAAAGCATCAATCTGATGCACTTTGAGAGCAACATTAACCCTACCTTAATAACACCTTAAAGCGGACAAAAGGCACTGGAGAACACTCATTAACACCCTTTAATGAAGCAAACTAATGCCTTAACTCACTCAAATAGTCGTTTACGTTTAATTAAGGTGAAACGAATGTGCGTAAACTTTTAAAGGATGCGGATAGTCTCACCTTGATTCTGGCGCATTGCTTATCGTTTTATAGATCTATTCTCATCCACCATCTTTGTTTGTGACGTAAAGAGTGTAACGGCCCGTCCACACAGCGGCGTGCGTTGACGCTTGCCGGCGGGCGTGTCTGACACTCGACCAACAACCAATCACATGAATCTCCCGCCCCTGACACACAAGCAGCGGTTTGATTGGCTAGAGCTTGTACTGGCATATGATTCGATTGGCTGACGCTTCTGCCGAGGCGTCAAAAGTTGAGCATTGCTCAACTTTTGCAGCGAGCCACGCCAGCGACGCTTCCCACGATGCAGTTCGGCTAAAAGTGACGTCACCCCATTCAAAGTGAATGGGCAGAAGCGTTGGAAGCTTCAACGCACGCCGCTGTGTGGGCTGTAAGAGTCACGTTTCTGAATCGGACACTCTGAGTGGATGCAGTCACAGCTAATCGGAGTCTGATTCAGAGGGTTGCCTGTGAGTTCTGTTGTTATGTGTACTGACACGAGAGCCGGTATAATTCCACGCGTGAAAACAAAATAAAAATTGGAATACGATATTTTAGTGTCTTAAAAGTAGACTGAGTTATGAAGGGTTAACGTTACATCTTAGGATAATTTTTAGTCATGTTCTGTATACATACTAACATATAAGGGTATACTTAGTGTTGTTACTCCATGTTTACTAGCTATAACATTAACGTTACATCCCTCTTTTTCACTTCTTACTCAGTCAGCCAGAGTGCAGATATCACCATTAGATTAACAAACCTGAAACATCATCCATTTCTTGACTGCTGGTGATGACATTGTTGTCAGCTGCTGATACTGCTGCTATTGCAGCTTGTGGCCTGCTTCGATGACAATAACTTTCTAATATCCATACTGTATATGCTATTAGCTTAAAACTCGTCAGGCACTAGGAAGGATCACTTCTTCTTCAGGGCAGGCTACGCAGTACGCAGGCTAATGTCCCACAGTGGCTGCCTCTCTGGTGGACTCCGGTACTGCACATAACTCCCGAGACGTTTTCAAAAAAATAAAAACATTTTTTATTTTTTTTAAGTGAAACATCCGGGACTTTTCAGAAAACATCCGGGGCTTGAGCCCAAGTAGCCACCCCCTAGCGCCGCCACTGTTTGGGATGCTCTGGATCGGCGTATACGACAGCGTGTTCCAGTTCCTGCCAATATCCAGCAACTTCGCACAGCCATTGAAGAGGAGTGGACCAACATTACACAGGCCACAATCAACAACCTGATCAACTCTATGCGAAGGAGATGTGTTGCACTGCGTGAGGCAAATGGTGGTCACACCAGATACTGACTGGTTTTCGGACCCCCCCAGACCCCCCCCAATAAAGAAAAACTGCACGTTTCAGAGTGGCCTTTTATTGTGGCCAGCCTAAGGCACACCTGTGCAATAATCATGCTGTCTAATCAGCATCTTGATATGCCACACCTGTGAGGTGGGATGGATTATCTCGGCAAAGGAGAAATGCTCACTATCACAGATTTTTTCAGATTTGTGAACAATATTTGAGATAAATGGTTATTTTGTGTATATAGAAAATGTTTTAGATCTTTGAGTTCATCTCATGAAAAATGGGAGCAAAAAGTGTTGCATTTATATTTTTGTTCAGTGTAAGTGTACTGAAACAAATACCAATAACTGTATTGCATTGTTTTCTTATGCGCAATTACTTCATACTGTCTAGTTCTCTTTTTCGTCCTGCATTTATTGTGCCCCCCTCAGAAAATAACTGGCCCCCCAGTGGCCCCCCCCAGTCAAATTGGTCTAGAAACGCCACTGGGCCTATATCTCAATGCTTATATTGATTTAGAAATGAAATGTTTTAAAATTAATTGGCAAGAAAGCAAGTTTCTCAATAGTTTACATAACTACAGGACTTTAGCAAATGTATTTAGTTACATTACACCGCTTTTTATAGGTCCCCAAATCACCAGCAAGGTAAATGCCACAATATTTGATATCTATAGTTGTTATTGTATGAGCAGGTGGAGCAACAGGCGTGACCCGTCTCCAAAACAAGCGCACCCAACTGCCCGCGATGACGTCACGCCGTCTCGTCGCCTCTCTGTTTGTTATGTGTTTTTTAAGGAGCAGCTGCTAACTGCTAGCATTGAGCCTCGTCTTTAAACATGCTTTGAATACACATAAACAGCTGGCAGGTAAGAGTGTTTAAAACCAATAAAACACAGACGTTCGCCCGAGCTCTGTGTTCAGTTTGAAAACTGTTGCGACTAAAACAAAAGCGAGCAGCGAGGTCGCAAACAGCCGAAGGTCGTTTTTTTTTAGCTAGCAAGGTAGGCTAGCTTGCAAGCTAACTTAGCTCATTAACTAGTCACATAAACTACAGCATAACAAGTTAGTAGCACATGTTTCATTACAGCACATTTGGGTTTCCTGAATATTGAGTGTATTGACTAACGTGGCATACAGAAATCCCTGTTGACACGTCTTTAAACAGCTGGGTGTTAGGACTTACCAGCCCCGATGGTTCGCTGCTGCGGAGCTTTATGTAGCTTTCACACATTAAAAAACTCTTGTGACTTTTACAAATGGTAATTCTTCGCTAAAGATTATGAATTTCCTTGCAAACAAAGCAGGATTGTGTAGTTAATGAGTTCAAAATGCTGCGATACAATGTGTTTACATGAAACCCAGTTTATCGGTGTCTTGTGTAAAGAATCGATGTGACTTCGTTCAGTTCATCAGAATCTAGCTTTATTATTGCTGAAAGGTCAGAACGTGTTTCTTTTTTATTGATCAACTATTGCTTATCCTTTTAAAAACAGAAACCGGAAGTCAAGTTTTCTACTGTCATCATTAAAGGCCATGTTCTGACGTTTGGATTAAATGTTCTTTATTTCGGGCAAATTTATGTTAGATTCAACCCAACAGAAAAATAGCCAACTTTTATGAATCGTTTAATAATTGAACTAACTTTCCATGCAGAGAAAACAGAATATCTTTAACGTTGTTATTGAAATAAATTGATAATATCGTGTGAATTATTATATTGGAAAAAAACTATAAATTATACATAAAACCAGAATATATTTCCATGAATGTAACATTTAGTTTGTTAGAATGTTCCCATAATATGTGATAATGTTGCATGCTGGATAAGGCTTGCTAAATTGTGGCACACTTTGATTTGGCGGTGTATAACTAAACGTGTGTTGTGTCTGTTTGGAGGACAGAGATGGCAGTGTGTGCACTGACCATGCTGGACGGGATGGAGACTGAGGTGATGGTGGCAGGCGGGGTGTTGCTCCTGGTCCTGGCCCTCGTCTTCGCTTGGCTCTCGACTCACGTGGCCGACCGGGGCGACCACATCCTGGGCACCATCCTCACCGTGGGGGCTCACGCCTCCCTGATCGGACTGGGGGGCCACGAGAGCTACAGCGGAGGGTCTCCCAGCACAGACACCCCAGAGCAGCAGACTCCCCCGGCCTCTCAGGAGAACAAGCCGGACGACGGGGAGTCGGGGACCGAGAGAGGAGAGGGGGAGGGGACGGGGGAGGGAGCTGAGGGGGTGAGGGCTGATCTCCTGCTGGACATACAGAGCAAGCAACCCCAGGCTGGAAGACTGCACACTTCAGATGACGAGGATGATGACGATGATGAGGATGAGGATGATAATGAGGGGCAGGAGGAAATAAAAAAAATTACAGACCATATTCCAGTGTTGTCCAGCACCGTCTCCCCCTCCCCCACCACGGCCACCTCCATCTCTGTCCGCCTAAAGTTTTTAAACGACACAGAGGAGTTAGCTGTTGTCGAACCGCAGGATACAGTGGGAGTGCTGAAAAGGTAAAACAACCCCAAACATCCACCTGCAGACTTCAAGTCAAAACTGCCATAGGAATAGATTACAGTTTAGAAATGCGTTGCTTTCTTGCAGAGGGATAGGAAAGGAAAACATAGACATTCCTACCTGTTTTTGGTCCGTGAATACAGTGTAAAACTCAGTATTTTTAGAAATGTTGTTTTCAATGTTTACATGTAGACAGTGTTTTGGCTTGTCTCTTCGGAGAACTTTCCTATGTGAGGCTTTACAGCATTGAACGACAGAGCCGGCAAAGATAGTGCAAGAAGTTCTAACTTTGCTATCAGGAATTTGTACATGATTAAAAATAAATATAGTTCCCCTTCTAGTATATTGAGCTTCAGAAGGGAATGTTATTGTTTTCCCAGCAACCAAGCTAATAAGTGAATGTCCAAAAATGCTGTACTTGTCCATTAATATGTGTTCTCGTCTCATTTCTGCTCCAGCAAATACTTCTCAGGTCGAGAGCATCAAATCAAACTTATCTACCAAGGCCAGCTGCTGCAGGATCCCAAGAAGACCCTGTTTTCCCTAAACATCTCACAGAACAGCGTGATCCACTGCCACATCTCCCAGGCCATGCACGAGGACCCTCCAGAGGAAGGGGCTCAGCCTGGGGCGGGAGCTGGGTCCGGGGTCTCGGGGGGATTCAGGGCTGCTGGAGTAGCCATAAGCACCAGCAGCCTGGTAGTGCCCGTGTTCGTGGTGATACTGGCCGTGGTGTGGTACTTCCGCATCAACTACAGGCAGTTCTTCACGGCGCCCGCGACCATCTCCCTCGTGGGAGTCACTGTGTTCTTCAGCTTTCTGATATTTGGGATGCACAGCCGCTGAACAGACCGGGAGAAAGCACACACACTTACAGCTGAATGTTGTGAGTAGAATACAAATAACTATAGCAGGGGGCGGCACCTGGAGAGACGGACTAATCCAAATGGGCTCAGTGCAGATCCAACAGCTGATTGGATCCCTGCAGTGTGTGAGTGAATGATAGTGTGTGGGTGGCTAGGTGAGCCTGTTTGTGCATGTACCAAGATGAAACAGCAGATGAGTGATTGTACAGTATATGTGGAGTAAATAATAATCTGCAGTGAGTGAAGAACTCCTCTCCAAACATGACTTAGTGGTGCACACCATGTCGTAAACACTCATGGCTTTATCTTGTCCGCTCTTTTATTGTTGCTAAAGATTCAAGATGCTATTTTGTCCGTGTTTGTTTTTTAGGCCACTGTTTGTGTAGAAAAATAGTATAATTCTACTAATAGATGCAAGACTCTAATACTCTTTGGAACCACTCACTGTTGTGCTGTGTGTGCCAGTTTTACTACCAATATATTGTGTTATTTGAACTGCAAATATGGACGGGCTGAAAATGTAAGATCTTTTTTTTGCTGAAAAACTGTCGCTTTAGAAATAGGCTAATTTAAATAATCACTAGACATGGAAATAGACACTTTTTGAGATGATATTGTAAATATATTGTGTATTTTCTGTAAATAAAATGATAGAATGAATCAGATGAACCTGCATCTGGCACTTAAAGATTTGGAGGAACCCTCCTGATTATGCTGGACTGCGCTGGCTTCAGTGATGTCTCAAATTAAAGCATTTCAAACCAAACGTGTCTCAGTATTTGTTTGTAGGCTAAAGAAGTAAGCCTCGGGGTTCCATTTGTTTTTATTCATATACAAACACCAGTATGCATTTAAGTGACAAAACTGATCACATTATGATCATGTACAAGTCATCCACACATGCACAGATTCGTGCTTTTACAAGAAATGTTTTGGAAACTCACAACATCACGTTCTTTGTAATTGCACTCGTACTGAACACAGATACACAAAGAGCCACAGCACAACATCAGTTGTTCGCTTCATCCAAGAAAAAGTGGCTTAAGAATCTAAATCACAACAAGCACAGCATCTCAATAACAGTTCATTTATCTTTAGTGCACGTCACAAGACTTTACTGGAAAATATTCAAAAGGTTTCCACAGACCATAACAGAAGCCAAAGGAGTCCATACTGGAGATAAATCAAGCTTTGACAGATTGTCACGTTCATTACATCTGAGAAAAATTAATGTACTTGGCTTTAGGGACTGTACCAAAATGACTCGAGTGGGAAGGGGGGGTTCATTTGAGCCACCAATGAGTGAATCAGACTCGGGCAGCACATCATCTTTCCTGTTATTAAAAACTGAGTTGTTGTTCCACGTAGCAAGTTGATCCTGACAAGGAATCACAAAAAGGTGCATCTTTGTGATCGATGCAATACATTTATTTTCCACATATAAGAGAGGAATTAAATTAAAATGTTGTGGGTTGGGAAAAAGTGTTTCCTGCCTTTGCAAAAACATCAGGCAAAATTAATCAAATTCAGAACAGGCTCATCTTGAGAAAGAAGTGAATACAATGTGAAGAAAGCAAAAGTATTCATGCTCGTTCAAAGTGGACCACATTTACGGTTTGAAAAGCTGAAAAGTAGTAATTGTCGTACAGTCCCTTAGTTTTGCAGCATTGATGTCCATATATATACAAAGTACATCCTTCTGCTCACCTATGCACTCCTTACTAAAATTATTTCTGAAACTGTAAAGCCTTTGGGTTTAAATATAAGACACACAAATAAAGAAAGCTTCTTTAAAATATCAACTGTGAAAAGTACAAGATTAGTAAAATAGTGCATCTGACCTCTAAAGCATGTCATTTATCTTACAACTTCAGAAAATGATATAAGCTCACAGACTTATTAGTCATGATCCTGAAAGACAAACAGAACTGCATCACTTAATGAATTTGATCTCTAAGCAGAAATTCAGGGAAAATATACAAGAAACGTTTTAGTTTTTTTTAAAGGAAAGAAAGTTACGTTTGATTCACGATGACTTTTCCCTCTCACGTGTCATACATACACGCACTGTACATGTGTGCCCCAGGAGCCTCGTGGCTCATGAAATATCAAAATCAGCATGAGCACACAAATTAAATACACACCACTGTACAGGCAAACAAAAAGTTAAATATATTTTTGATGTAAACAAAAAGTTAAATATATTAAATGGCACACGTACTATCTTAAAAATTTCACATTCTAGGATGCATAGTTTTATAAAATATAAATGATCACACACGCACACTATTACCACACATACACTAGGCGAAAAAGTGCGTTCAAACTGAATGCCAGTCAGCTGACAGACACACTCACAACTGTGCAATACAATGCTAGAATTAAAAAGCCACTGATGAAAACACCTGTGTCAAATGCTGGAATAAAAGCAGTCAAAGTCATTATGTCTCCTCCAGACTGAGTTAAGTTTTGGGTTAAGTTAAGAGGGACAGGTCACAGAATTGCCAACAATAAGCAAACAAAGTAGGGGCAACAAAAGCCATTCCTGACTGACTACAGCTAATAAAAGATGTTCAATCGACTTCCTGTAAAGGGGGGACAATTTTGAGACGTCTAATGGGCCTTTTCAGAGCACATATTTTGATAAGTCTTAGCAGGAAAAGCATAGGTTTAATAATTGTGTTACCATAGCTATGTTCATTATCATCATCATTATTTTAGATTAGACCTGTGATCTTCCTGATATATCATGTCAAAATACCTGCAGTGGAAAATAAAATAAGTAAATTATATATATATATATTAAATGTGATCCAATATTTTTTATAAATATATAATATTGTACCACTCAGTTTTATTTGTAAACGGTACTGTAGCTGATATAGACACAGAGTGTGGCGAGGGTGTCATTTGGATAAAAAACATCTTAGATTTGTGAAGCCAAAACTATGTGGACACACAGCTGTTTTTTGAGACAACATTCCAGTAAAAATCTCAAATATTCTTTGAGATAAAACATGGAAATATTGTGAAATATTCCTTTTTTTGCCAATAAACCACATGACTTCCCTGTATTGGGCCTGTTAATGTAGGTAAGAACAGCAGGACTGAATGCTCTGAGAGCTTATGCTAGTTCAGGTCATCATAGATACTGGAGATAGAGGGGGCTGAGAGTTTTGGCCTCTTTTTTTTGGTCGATAAGCTGATATTACTCTGAGAGCTGCTGCTGCTGCCACCACCTCCTCCTCCAGTCAGACTCACTCCTCCTCCTAGTCCTCCTAGTCCTCCTCCTAGTCCTCCTAGTCCTCCTCCTAGTCCTCCTAGTCCTACTCCAACACCTCCACCTCCTACTACAACTCCACTGTTCAAACCGAGAGAAGTCCTTTTCTTCTTCTTGGGCCTCTTAGAATCTGAATGGTTGGTGCCTGTGAGACAGAAAAAATGTGTCCATCAGTGGTCTTTACGTAAATAAAGAACATTATTTAAAAAGACATAGTTTAACCCAATTCAAAACAACTACTTTTCCCCTTACCAGTACTAGCCTACAAAGGCTAACCACAGTGGTCAAACAAATTCAAAGTTGCAGTTGTGACTGTAGTTAAAACTTTGGATTTCGATATCTTGTGAGAAAAAGTCCATTGTTCAATATTGTTCTGTTCTAAAGAAACAAGGGTGCAAAACATGGCAGTAACTACAAAGTCGAATCAGAATCAACGGTCAACTGCAGTAACTGCTCACATCGAGGTCTGTAGATCCTCTTGAGCAGCCGAGTCATGTTCAAATGTGTTTTTTGAGCAGCAAGTGCCACCTAGTTCCATTATATTCAAGAGAAGGCAGACATCTACTGTATAGCCGGGCACATATCTCCAACACCAGTCACACCGAAACACACTAGCACTTTATTAGAGAGAAACAATAAGTACGTTCTGATTGTGGGCTGAACTGTCCCTTTCATTGAATGCATTCCTTACTGGCTTTCGATGAGGCGGAGTCAGTGGGTGAGATATCGGGGGAGTCCTCCCACTGCAGGCGGCTCATCAGGGTCTGTCCGTCAGGAATGTCAAAACTCTCGCTCTCCACCACAGCGTCAGGATCAGGCAGCGACGGCCTGTCAGGAAACACAGACACTGCCTGTTACTGGGGGGAACAAAACTATAAAATAAATTCCATATATTCATAATAGTAGTAGTACTTAACAAACATTCAAAAGGGTTGTAAGATATCTACAGCACATTAACATCAAAATCAATCGGACATAGGATTATCTTTTTTCTCCTCACCTACTGGCATTTTTAATCACCAATGTCTTCTGAATTGTAATATGGTACCATTGTACTTAGGCCAGTGAAACAGTACATCAATTCAACTTTCTCAAAAATAGGTAAAATATAATATACATTTTGTATATTGTATATACAAAGAGTTCATTTATAAAATAAACACATAGACTTTGATGAAGCCTTTAAAAAACGTTGTTTTTGTTTTTTTTGTTATTAGAAAACCAGATTTCTAAGGGTGAATATTAGTTTTTTGTTTTTTTTAAAGTAAAAATGAAGTTGTATTCTCTTCACAGCAAGGCGTTCATGATGAGAATTTCAACCATAGGATAATCTCAAATTGATTCAACTATATTAACAACATTTGTATTATCACAAGCTTGCAGTCATATGGGTTTTGTGGTTGAATGTTGTGTCTATAGGTGGCATAGAATTGCCTTCCCAAAGGATGCAGGAACGCCCACAGAGTTTGGTGAATCACAAGCGGGCCGGCAAAAATCCCCTGGGGATAAAATAAGACCTTTTGAAATGATAAAGGGTCATCAGCTGAGTTCTGTTATCACTTGTTAGAGGATGGACACAACTCTGCCTTTGTGAAGGAGCTGTTACTCTCAGAACATATGCCCCTTTCTCAAAGTGTTCACAACACTGACCAGCAGCAGTGTTCTGCTCGTCATACAAACAGTGAACTGTATCAGCAAACACCTGCACCATGAGGGTCACACAACACACACAAACATGAATTTGTTAGGCACACTTGTGTGTGAGGGGGACACTCACGCGGACGGGCCCAGGAGGAACACCCTGACGGCCCTCCTCTGTTCATCCGAGTGCTGGGGACACCGCGGAGACCTGGTGGTACACAAGGTGGCATTAGAAATCCCTGACTCAGCGTCATGCATCGCCCCGACTGCCTGCATGCAGCCACAGGGGGGACGAACGGGCTGCTGCAGACACAACTAGTGACCAATCAGACGGGGCGGAGCAGGGGATAATGTTATGAAATGTTAGAGCTAGGTCACTGACAGGGTCTTGCATGGTCTACCCAAAAGTATGTCTAAATCTGTGTTGTTTCGAGGAGAAAACAATTCAATCACTAGTCCAGCAAAATAAACGCATGTTGCCACTTGTGTACCCCTGAGTTAGTCCCACCACGCATGATCATTTTCATACAGAGGAAAATGATCAAGTTTCCAGATTTAACATGCAACCACAACGTTAGTTTATGAGACACAGTTTCACAAAGGGAGCAGAGATAAAGGCACTAACCTCCGAATTGGGATTCAACAACATGGTTTATCCGACATAACGCCAGGCGCTACAGGAACTGAAGCTACCCAGCACAATCACGGATATCAGCACCATAAAATAAGTTTACCGTGTTCCCACCAGTTCCTCTATGTGCCAGTGGATTCTACAGTAATTACCTGGTACACATCTTCTTGGTGTGCTCGGAGATCACCCCACATTGCTGTAGAAACAAACACAA